TGAATCTGAAGTCTTTGATGCTGAACTATTTTCAATAGTGAAAGCTTTCAAACTTATTAAAATAAAATCTTATAAAAGAGAAAATAGTTTGAAAGAGATATGAATATTCTCTGATAGTCAAGCTGCTTTAAGAAGACTTAGAAATTGTCAGATTCACAGTGATCAAATGAATCTGGAACTGATTTTAAATTCTGTTTTGAAAATTCAAAAGAGAAGAATATCAAAACTGATAATTCATTTACACTGAGTTTCTACTGATATGAATATTCATGACAATGAATTGACTGATTCAGCTGTAAAAAAGGGTTCAGAATTAAGTAAATCTAATCAAAAAATAGTGTTCTGTTCTTTTATAAAGAGAAAGATAAAAGAATCATATTTAGACAAGTGAAATAAAAGCTGGTACAAATAAAAGAAGAGTATACATTATTCAAGATTTGAAACAAAATGCAAGTAAAAATCTTGTTCAATTAAATATAAAAACAAAATATTCTCATCTATAATTCAGCTCAAACTAGAATATGATTATTTCAAATCTTATATACAAAGATTTGATAATAGATTTGATTCAATAGAATGTTTATTCTGCAATAGAAATGAAAATTCTGAGTATATTGTAATACATTGTGCACTATACAATAGTCTCAGAGTCAGATTGAAAGAGAAGTATGATTTGAATTAATTACATATAAGGTTCTTATTCTCAACTGAGATAGAAATTAAATACTTAATAGACTTTCTGGTAGAAACTCAAGCACCTACAAGAAAATAACTGAATTCAGAAATCTCTGAATATAAAGAGGTGTAAATTAATCAGATATAGTCTGTTAAAAGAACTATACACTATCTTTTAATATTTTTGTTTTATTATAGTCTCTCTTTACTTTACTTTTTCTTTTCTGTTATTTTCTATTTACTTATTTAATATGTCTATCTTTAAGACTTTGTTCTCTTTTCTTTTGTCATGATATTTCTAAATAATTTCAAAGGATTAGAAGGTGTTAAAATACTGTAATTTGTAAAGCGTTTTTATATTCTAGGCTGGAATTTTCTGATTTTGTATATCTGAAATTGATAAATGTAAAATAGTTTACTTTATAGATATTAGAAAAACCCTGAGAACTAAAAACTTTTAGATATATGTCATAGTCTCTAACTGTATATATCTATAATTGAAGAATAATAATAATAATTAATAATAAAGATTTCTTATACAGTATGAAATAATTATTTAAAATCTCACTTTATGATCTGAATATAGTCATAGTCAGAATGTGTATAGAAATCTAGTTAATCTAAATATATCTTTACAAATTAGTTAAATATTTCAACATCTAGTGACTGTAAACCGTGTGTAGAATGAGAAGAAAGAATAGTGAGTAAAATTCAATTCTGATTCATATAATGATTGAATGTTATATTTATATAAGATGAATAATCATTTAATATAAGCAGATAGTCATAATTTCTTGCTTTTTACTTTGTATGAGAATTAAACATCTGTTTCAGTGAGATTAATTTATACTTATTATTACTTTATTCATTTTCTGAATCAGTGAAGTATGTCTGATTCTTTTTAAAATTAAAATCTTCAAGTTATGTATCTTGTATATCTCTTGATTTTCCTTGAAGCATCAATGCAGATGAAATTGTAGTTTCATCTGTATAAATATTAGTCAGAAGAGAAATGAATTCTCTACTGTTATTCTGCGCTACTTTAATTATATTCTTCTGTTTAAGAGCTTCTATAGAAATAATTCACTTGAGAGTATAAAGAAGATCAAGAAGAAAGTCTTTTTTATCAAAATTGTAGATATTCTGAGTTAGAATATTATACTGCTTGATCTTCTTCTGTAACTATTTAATAAAAGTCAGTAAAAAGCTCATGAAATTGTATATAAAAAGAAGTAAAAAAACTGCAATTATAGAAATAAAGTATTAATTAAAACAGTAGTTATTATCTATCTCTTTTCTCTTTTGATTCAGAGTATGAAAATAGATATTCTTAATCTTCATTTTATATCACTTATAAAAGTGAGATACTCAGTTGATTTCTACTTTTATTTTGATAATCTGAAATTCAAAATTATGCAGTATTTAACATATAATAGAGAATCTGTGATTGAATAACTAATTACTGTGAAATAGAAGATATTGTGCTTCAGTATTTATAAGATTCTGATAATCAGTTAATATTATCTCTGTTCTGAAGATTTGTTGATCTTTGAACTGTTAGATCATGATAATGTGATTAATTCTGAATTTCTTTGAAATCTCAGCATATTTGAAAATCAATTATTAATTCAAATGAGTGATTGCTTGCTTTAGAATCACTTTATTAAGTGATATAATAAGTGGTTGAAGTTGAATAGTTGCAGAGATTCATGGAAAAAATAGCAGTTTATTAATTGAATAAGTTCGTTGCTTGATGAGTCACGTTACTGATTAAAAATAATTTATAGTGATTAAATTAGTTAATAATAAAAGTTATATTTTCACTATATATTTATTTTAAACTTAGTGATTTCTTTTTCACTCTACTATACTCTGATAGATAATTTGTGAATTAATATACTTATGTTTTATTTACAGCTGAAGCAATGATATTGAAATTAGAATAATAAAAAATTAATATATAATTCACAGCAGTTTTAATATACTTAATAATAAGAGAATAAAAATTAGTATTTAAATTTATTATTGATCTTTGAAGAGTTTTCTTATTATATTATTATTATTATTATTGTTCTTTCATTATACTTATATGCAAGCAGAGCTTATAATGAGTCCTTGCATGATGTTAAATACAGGTCAAGTGTTGGTTATACAGAAGAAAATACAGGTTTTAAGACCATGCCAAGATAACAAGAACATAGAAAAATACAAAGAAGTGATAATTAGATACATACAATAATAACTTTTCAGCCCAGGAATATAGAGTGATTTATTGAAGTGATTTGTACATCTCTGTATTTATTAGAAACCTGAGGTGCTTGGGTTCTGGATTTAATGTATCCCCTGCGGGTTTTGAACCCACATGCCTTGGTTTCCCACACCAAGGCGCTACCGGGTGGCTGCATTAACCATTCGGCCATCGGGGCAAAGAGTTTTCTTCTGAAAACTGTTATTTAATATTCAATTCAGTGAAACTCTTATAATTCTTGATTTATTTTCTTTCACTCATTCAATGAAAATTATATATACAACTTGAAATTCATATACTATCTTGATGATTTTTAATTTTGAATTTGGTCTTAATATGTCAATGGCATTTTGATGCTGAGCTTCAGTGCATTTAAATGATTTAAGCATGATGGTAATGATTAATGAATATTTGAAGATGAAGAATGATGATAATTGAAAATATTACAGTTGCAGTGATATTACAGTTACACTGGGGCGCGATCACTAATGATAGTAAGTCGCAATTAGGCACGGTTAGAGTCCAACGCAAAAAGGTCCTGGCTCTGAAAACACTGAGACAACGAATAAACAACCCCAAAAATAATAATCCCAAGATTCCAAGAGAATAAAAATTTACACAACTCTAGCTGCTCCCCATAATAATAAGAGAACAACTCTTACAACTTCATTCCCGGCCGCCCAAGAGGACTACCAACCTTCGGTTTCCAAACCAAACTCCTCCTCCTAGCCGCCTGTAACCTGATTCTCAACCCTTCACTCATTTGACTATCGCCACGCCCATTATCATCGAAGAGACCCTGTCTCAGCTGTTTGGGGGGGCAGGTCTGCTGAGCCCACTGGGTTCCCTGCGATGGGTAGTATGGAGTGATAGGTGACGGCGCAGAGACACCATCAAAATCAAAGGCGTAGTTGAAATCAGGAGTGGTGGGTGTCTCTGCTGCAGAAGTTGGGGACAGAGCTGTGGACCGGGAGGGATTTGTGGGTGTTGATCGAGTAGCAAAGTGCTGCTGTTGTTGTAACTCTGGGCTCCCCCATTCCCTCGTCTCCCGTCTTGATGACGAGGGTGTTGGAGAGACGCGCATCAACTCGTGGAATGTTTCGCGATTGGCTCCATTGCGTTTTCCACTGTTGGAAGATGTGGACGAGTCAAGCTTGATAATACTCCCGTTCATATTGCTGAGTGCTCTTGGCTCCATGCTCTTTCTGCGCTTCTGGCCACCGCGAGGTACTAAACTCACATCCACGCTGTAATTGATCTCATCGAGCCATTTGCCTTTGCGCTCACAACTGTGGGGCGGTGTTGTTAGTTTTTCAGCAGTGCGTGTAACAGATGAACAGGGGATATAGACATACTCAAGAACCCAGCCAACTCCAACACATTTCACAAGTCCGTTAGCTTCCCTAACCTTTTCTAATGTTCTGACTCCGCCGTCCTTGAAGACAACATGTGTAATGCCTACTTTTCCCTCCCTGGGATCGACACCGTCCACGGGAGATAGGCTTGCTTGTGGATTCCAGGACCACGACTTGACACATCTGGCCCCCATTTGGATAAGAAGTTCAACAAATATTCCGCTCGCGTCAGCCCCTTCGGCAGTGTGCACGTCTGTAAAAACAACGGCCCCTTGTAGGACTTTATCATTGGTGGAATTGTGTTTGCTCGGAGACCTTGTCGCGCAACCCCCAGAAGATTGAGGCCATGGTGATGTGTTATATTTAACTGGGGTTGCATCTGGTTGCTCCGATTCGGCTTCGCATTCGGAAATGTCGCCACCATTTGGTTTTAGACTTGTCCTTCCTTTGCGTGGGGAAAGCGATGGTAGAACTTTACTCTTTCCCAATTGTAAAGTGGAATTCTTTCTAGGCGAAGAAGAAAGGGAACGACTCCTTTTGCGGGGAACTTTAAGCACAGAACAGTCGCCATCAGGTCTCAGCGGGACTTTCGAGACCGTATGTATCGTACGAGGAAACACGCGGGAGCGAACTGGAGTGACAGACATGGGAAGTGGGACTGAGTTCCCCTTCTCGACTCGATCCAGATGTTCACCATGGCTTACATCCTGGTCGATGAGTCGGGGATCGATTGGAACGGTGGACTCGGAAGGCGCGGCGTTCTCATCACCGTAAACTTCGTCATCGCCTTCTTCATCTTCGCGTATTTCTGGCGTTATATGCATGTCATCGTCGTCAAGCAGCTGACCCATTGTGCTCTCACTGTTCTCTCTGGACACGTCACTGTTTAAATCGGCAGCCGTGATAGCTCTATCAATGCTTTCATGGTGGTGCACAGCCATTTGGTCTTCAAAGAAAGCAGTTATTGCAAAGCCGGAAGGAGTAGAGAGCCTAAACACGAGATGCTGGGGCACGTTCTCAACTCCGTCGTGTCTCTCACCATCCTCCTGCTTAACGGCCTCACTTGGCTTCACTGGTGAAAATACTCCTGTCCCTTGAATCCTGGAGGAGCGTCGCGTTACGCGAGTGATGGAGCCCCACTGGCTCAGTCGTTCGACCAAGGGAGTAAATCCCAATTTCTCTTCAGAGCCTTCGTCTGTGATTCTTAAATCATATTCACCAGTGGTACCAAAAAGAGTTTCGCGTCGTGATTGAAAATTGTTCAGTTTCAATGGGCTAGCACCTCCCATGAGTTCATCTTCCGATTCCTCAGCTATGTCGTGACGATATACGAACTGAGCGGGGCTTTTCGCTATGAATACTGGTGGGGAGGGCGCAGCCGGTGGAATGCAATTGTAACTTCTTCCAGACTCGACACTTGAATCTGGGTTACAAATCTCATACCTACTCACTGGGGTAGAAGATGTTGATGTGAGTTCTGTAATAACAAATGGGTCATCCAGCTCCTGTGCTCGAGCCGTCACATGGGACTCATCACTGGCCTCCTCCAAAATTGGACGAGCCACAACTTCACTAGGTACCCCCAATGAGTGTCTGGCTTCAAGAACTCTCTTTCCAAAAGCAAAGGTGCAATCGGTAAAGACATCATCGTTCTTGAGGTCTTCTGTGGCAGCGTGATCAAATAGCTGGGTGGAGGATTTCTCCAGTGGCACAGATGTCTTGATATGGTATGGAGAGGTCTCTTCACTTCGTACAGAAGTTATAGATTCCGAAGTTGGCGTCTCTCCGCTTATGCTGCCACTCAGAAACTTAACTGGTAAGGGTGGTCGTTTCGCTGGGCTTTGTAATAAGGTCGGTTTGCCTTTGGATGGAGTTGATGTGGACTTGAATGGTGAATGGGGGAAGGATGAACCAAGATTGCCCTTCTTTGGTGAGATTTTCAACGGAGAATACTCTCCGTTATCGACTGCTTCGGCACAAGACGGCAATGCCGCAGGCTGGAATGGGGCACGTCGAGGTGAATCGCTCATTGATTCCTTAAATGGGGATGGGGGAAGCTTTCTTGCCGGCGAGGATAACATTACCGAATCGGCTGAAATTGTGTCTTGAATGGAAAAGGCGAACAAAGGTTGTTCATTTTGAGTTCCCTGCGGCAACAGAGGAACTTGTGAGGATTGTTTTCTGGGAGATACAAAATTCATTCTTTTAGCAGGAGAATCGAACTGCCTCTGTGGATCTCGCTTTGTTGGAGATCCGTTGTGACACGAAATCCGCGGTAGAGGCCAGCCTAAATCAAGATATTCAGCATCATCCGCCGAACTAGCAGAGGAGCCGGATCTGGCAACCTGGGTGGTTTTTTTCGGGGAGAGAGGGTCCTTTTTTCTGTCCTCTCTTGTATGAACGGCAGAATTCCGTTCGTCAGATGCCGGAGTGGTTTTTCGAACGGGTTTAGCCTTGATGCCAATCTTAATTTTCTGTTTCGGCTCACTGGTCGTCGACGAAGGGATTGGCTGGTTTTCTTTGTCTGAGTCTGTGGCCATGTCAAGGAAAGTAACTATCCTCCTTGGGACTGTGCTCGCTGCTATTCGAGCTCTGGAGGTAGCGGACGAAGCGGCCAGGGACGCAGCTGAAATATGTATTGTCTTGCTTGTTCCCTTCTTGCCATCGTCTACCGTCACCGTAGCTGCTTTTCTCGGTCGTCCTACTGAGGCTTTCTCGGAGCTCTGGGTGGCTGCAGGTTTACTTTTCCTGCTGGTGGATGTAGCTTTTCGCCTTCCTGGCGCTCGTTTCGGTAGTTCTGGATGTGCCAGCTCGTCGTCATCGTCATCATCATCCTTGACATTGATATCCTCCTCTTGATCTTTCCTTGTAAGAGCTGGTGCAGCTTTCCTAGCCTTCCCAATTGAAGCTTTTGAGGCAGACGCTGTTTTGCTCGAAGGCGCCGTTTTCGGCGTTGCCTTCACGGTCACAATGTCCATCTCATCATCGCTAGTGTCACCATCAATAGCACTGGTATCTTGGACCTCTTCCTGCACTCTCTTTCTTCCTCGTTTGACTGGCTGTTTCTTCAAGTCGACTCCGTCCGTATTGGATGCCGCACTGGCAACCTTTCTCCTCGTGGCTGGCTTCGTCGCGGTGGGGGCATCCGCTGTCTTGGTTCTCGGCCTCCCTCTTGCTGGGGCAGCTGTTTTTTCGGCTGTCGTTTTCTCTTTTCGTACTGTTGTGACTGGCGCCTCAGAAATCCCCATATTTCGAGCTGACCTCGAGCGAGTCATTCGTTTTGGAGGGCTAGCTGGGGTGGGAACTGCTGCGGTTCTAGGGGGCATATTGAGGACTAATTATACGGTATTGAGGAAATCTGGATGCAGTATATCGGTAGAAATTGGCAGAGCCTCGATAGTTTCGTGGCTGATAGCATGAAGCTTGGTTCTGTAAATTCGGCATACGGCAGGCAGCAAGCAATCAATACCAAGCTGTAGATGAAAGGAATGCAATATCAAAAAGGAACAAGATAAATAAAATAAGAGATTGGATACGTAGTGGTATTAACTAACAGTTAATGTGGAAGATTGCTGAGGTGAAATCGTCGTTGTTAGAGTGGATGTTGCAAAGTGATGGATGAACCAGGGTTGATCGAAGCCTACTTGTTGATGCCAGGCGTTTGGTTGCCAAGGCAACATACCGCAAGGGCGCTTGGCTTTGTGATCCACGAATATATTGTTGGCCGTTACGGCCGTTGCGGCTATTGGCTGTGGCGATCTTGCCAGATCACGTGACCAACCACTATATTAAGCTCTTTGTAGATAGATCTATCAATACAAGGTTCAACTATTCTACAGGTTATAGCTCAGATGGCATATTTTTCTTTTTAAAATATTATATTAATATTTTGACAAGAGTAGTATATCTTTTTCAGAAAGACTCTTACTTTTTACTGAAGATATTTTATTTTCTCTAAATCTATCAATCAGTATATTTATATAGTTTTTAAAAGAAAACTGTAAGAGATCTACAGTGAATAAATCATTATAATATATAGATCTTATAATATCAAAGTGAAAAATGTTAGAGAAGAAAAAGAAAGAGAAAGTATAAGAATCAGATTAGAGTAAATATTTATATATATATATAATAATATACATAATGAAGCTTCAGAGTGAAAGAATAGAAATTCTGTGAGTTTTTCAGCTGAGAATCAGTGATTAAGAATCAGAGCTTTCAGTGAGAATCTATAAAGTGTAATGAAATAGTCTATATAATTATTTAGATACAGTCTGTCATATTAGTTCTCTCTCTTCTGAAGTGAGATTATGAATAGTTCTCATTGATCAAGAGCTGTGATCTCAGATAATACAGAACTCAGAGTTCAGATTAGACAATTATAGCTGATTTATTTCATAGAATATTATCAGCTGTAGACTGACTGTATAATTATATCTGAGATCAGAACCAGAATTTTTAATAGTCTTATTATCAATTCAACTGATCTTATTACATGGTTTTAACATTAGTAGTAGTCTTATACTATCTCAGTGAGACTTTCTGTCTACTCTTATTACATTTTTCAAATGAGATCATGATTTTCACTTCTCAATTTAAATTATTTTTAACACTTTAAATCACTTTAAATCTCATTTGAGTGTTATCAAAAAGTGTTACTTTTTAAAAAATTAAAAATAGTCTAAAAAAAACCTCAAAATATCTAAAAATAGTAACTTTATGCTAAGAATAAGACTAAATGAAATCAAATGAGATCACTTTCTCATTTTTTTCAAGTCATGGTTTCATTCTGAGATCTGATATATAGTTACTTTGCATGTTTTTTTAATACCTAGTCTCAGCAGGATTCATATCAAGAAATGTATGAAATCAGATCAAATGAAATCAAATATGCAATTCATGATTTCAGCGGCCAGTCTAGTTAGCTGCAGCTGCAGAGTCTCTTATCAAGAATATCTTCAATCTCTTATTTAAGTTTATTATCTTCTTCTATGATTTCTGATGACTGTCAGTTGAAAATCCGCTGAGAAGAAAACAGATCAGTGACAGTGTGATGAAGTAAGCTTATATAAATGACATTATAAATCTCTGATGATATGTTAAGATAGTAGTTATAACTGTCTAGAACTTCTATCACTTTATACTTGATATGATGATGATTCAGTGTATGAAATGAGTGTGTGATTTATATATTCTTAAGATTTAATCACATCAGATCTTCTATCTTATATTACTCAGTGAGATCTTGATAAACATTGATTTGATCTTCTTAATCTTGTTTAACACTTATTATAAATGCTTCTGCTCAGTTATAAGTATCTCAGAGCTTTATTACTATATTATCAGTGATCTGAATCAGACTGCAGAGATTCAATGTGAAATATATAATCTCTAGAAGATTCAATATCTTCATGTGATAACTGTGTGTAAGAAAGAACAGATGTATATCTATTAAAATAGCATCTTAATCATTGATAGTAATCTCTGTATATAGAAGAAGATCATATCAATTATTCTATGAATAATTGCAGAACTTACAAAGGTAGTTCTTTACAGTCTGAATTTTTTATTCTAATATATTATCAGTCTCAGAGTGATAGACAGTTAATAAACAGTGTGTAATCTTGAGAACTTGACAGATTCTTATTCAGAGAGTGCTTATAAATTGACAGCTCTGATCAGATACTATAGATCTCAGTAAGTCATATATTCAATAGAATGAACTTTATAGAAAGGCTTCAGTAACTTGTTTAGTATTCATCATAGTACAAGATTCTAATATTATATCTTTACTCAATCAGTCAGTGATAATCAGAATATTCTTATAACTCTTACTCTCAGAGAGATTAACAGCAAAGTCAATTACTATATCTCATCAGATTCTATCAGAAATATTAAGTGATTTCAGTAGGTCTTTTCTACAGTTCTTTCACAAGATAATAGAAGAATAATAGTTGCAGTTTCAGACAAAGCATCTGATACTGTTCAATATCTCAGATCAGTAGAATTCTTAAGAAACTATTTAATGCAGTTATTCACAACTCAGATGATTGATTATACATAAATTATACATCTCTTACATTATTGAAGTGCATAGAGGTTTGAACTGAGAGACTTAACATTGTTCACAGAATTACAAAGTGTTATTATCATCAATTGAATATTTCAAGATGTCAGTCTTTATATATAGTTCTGAAGAGAATTGAGACACTTCTTATTATACTGCTTTAATGAGAGTCTGAAGAAGTTCATTAGTCTGAACTGTTATATATCACAGTTCATTCAGTATAGATTCAGAAGAAGTTAAGATATCAGTATCAGTGTAAGCGACAGTTAAGAGAGAGAATGTTCTAATCAGAGAAGTATGTATAGTGTCATAAGTTATTTCATCTTGATTAACTATTCTCTTCAGATTTAAGAGCTGATGTTCTTAGTTTATTCAGCAGATGTCTGTTACATTAAAAGATATATCTTACTCTTATTATAAGAGAATATCTGTCATTGAGTTCTGACTGCTAAGATGATAGTGTATAGTGAAATGAAAACAGTTTAATAGCTCAGATCATCATATCTGATATTCAGTAAGCTTATAGATAATTATGAAATGCTTGAGATTCTGATAATCTGTAAGTATCTCAAATTTGAAGACACTTCAGAGTTTAGAGTCTCATTCTTCTAGATAATATACTATTACAAGAAGTGTCTTGTCATAGATCTCATAGTTGTATTCAGCAGGGCTCAACTTCTTAGACATGAAGATGTATAATTATAAGACATCTTCATTATTATATTGTAATATAGCTTTCTCTGTAATATAGTCAGAGAAGTCAGCTTTAACAACTGTTTCACAGTCAGAGTTAAATATTATTAACAGAGAGATATTAATGAATATCTTCTTTATTCATGAGAATGCAGCTTCAGTATTCACTCACTATTGAAATACTCAGTTGTTCTTAGTGAGTTCTGTAAGTGATCTCACAATATCAGAGAAGTTTTATATAAATCACTAATAGAAGTGGGCAAATTTAATGCCGCTTCATACATCTTTCACAGTGTATAAGACCTTTTATTCAAGAATAGCAGAGATCTTCTCAAAATTCATTCAGATTTCCTTGCCAGCTTCTATAATAAAGCCTAGATATTTTATACTCTTAACTTCAAAATCACACTTATCTATATCTATTAATAGTTCTGCTTCTTATAGTTATTGTAATATTCTGAATACATGTTCTTAATATTCTTTTCTGAATTCATCAGTGAAGATGAGAATGTTATCAAGATAGACAGATGCAAACTTATCAAGAAAAATCTCAGAGTGCTTAGTTAATATACTTCTGAAATGTACTGAGAGCATTAGTCAGTTCAAAGAGTGTTACTATTCATTCAAAGAGATCATATCATGTTCAGAATACTGTAAGTTATTTATCTTCTTCAGTGATACAAATCTTATACACAGTAATAATATCTAGTTTTATAAATTATTGAGCTCATCTGATGCATGCTAGAGTTTCATTGATAAGAGATAAGAAATAACAGTCTTTATTTATCAATCTGTTCAGATCTTGATAGTTCACACAGAATTGAAGTTCTGTATCTGACTTCTTTATAAAGAGAATAAGAGCTGCAGGAGAAGAGTTACTAATATATGAATTATTAATTCAACAGGTTATTGAGTGTCTTCTGAAGAAGAAGAAGTTCATCTCAGAACATATTATAGAGAGAGTCTCACAGTGATTCAGAATTCTTATCATTCTTCTTTTTCAACTTGATACTGTGATTCACTTCTGAGTCTTGTAAGAGAGGTATATTTATAATGTTATCTTATCAGAAGATATCTAGATATTCATGATACTGTTAAGAGAGTTTTGTGTGAAAATCTGTTATTATAGTACAGAATAACCTTTCTAGAGCTGTCTTGATATCAGTCAGACTGATGAAATAGATTATCACATAATTCTGCTATCAGTGACTTCTTTTTCAGAGTATTTTATAAGCATTGACAGAGATCTGTGTCAGATTCATAGTCTTGTGAATATCATCTTCATGAATTCTATTATTGTTAGAAAATATCAAGCTTCTGTTTTAAGCATTCAATAAGATGCCTTGTTCAGATAGTCAGACAAGTTCTAGCATAAGATTATAATCAAGATTGTCAACTTCATATATATAAGCATCTTCATATTGATGTTCTTCAACATCTATATTCAGTTTTATCACGTAACAGATGCAAATATCTTTTGAATCATTAAATTCTGCAAGCAGTCAAGGTTTTGATAATAGAATAGACTGAAGGTTATGATGTCTTATGACTGAAGATTTAATTATTATATAGTAGCATAGACTGCTATCTATCATAACAAGACTGACTGCTGAGATCATAAATTTCATATTTGATTTCATTTGATATGATCTCATACATTTCTTGGCATGAATCCCGCTGGGACTAATCATTAAAAAAACATACAAAGTGACTATATATCAGATCTCAAAATGAAATCAGAACTTGAAAAAAATGAGAAAGTAGTCTCATTTAGTCTCATTTAGTTTCATTCTTGGCATAAAGTGACTATTTTTAGACATTTTAAGATATTTTTTAGACTATTTTTAATTTTTTAAAAAGTAATGCTTTTTGATAACACTCAAATGAGATTTAAAGTCATTTAAAGTGATAAAAA